ACTGTAGGGGCGCCAAACATGGCGATCAACCTTAGACGGCCAACCCCATTCTGTCGCGTTGCCAACTGGCGGCGGTGACACACCCGTGTTGGCGGGCGCGCTGTGCCAACCCTCTTGCGAGCCCTCGGGGGGAGCCCTCGGGAGCCCAACGGGGCTGGTGTGACCCCGTGCTTGCCCCGTGGCCAAAGGGGGGCTATGTGAACCAGTGTTGTCCATGACCGCCGCTCCAATACAGAGACCTTGTGACGCGAACAAAGTGGACGGCGCCAGATGCTCGTTCTGGGTGCACTCATGGGTCGATGTTGCGTCGCACGTCCGTCGCATTGAGACGAACCTCCTTCAAACGCGAGGCGACCCTGAGTCAAACTAGGGTCAAACTGGAGTCGAACTGGAGTCGAACAGATACGTTACATAGATCGGCCCCAGGAAGGTTCCCCAAACAAACATCGCAGGAATCCAAAAACCCGCTTTCTTCGAGGCGGTTATCCGAAGGCCGCTCCCCCTTTACCCCCATCTTGGGCCTTGGAAGCAACAGAGCAACTTGTTTACCGATTCCGTTTCGCAATCTGTTTTGTCGGTTCTGGAGCCGTGTTTCATCCGGGTTCCGTCGCCTCTGTTCTTCTGGCTCCCATTCCAGTTCCAACCTGGCTCCCATTCCAGTTCCAACCCCAAAGCATGTATGTCATTCTCAGGGTACCATTCTATTACCGCCTCCATGTTCTGGAAACACCGTTTCGAACACGGCAGAACAAACATGCAATTCCGACTCTGGGGCCCAGAAAGCCCAGCACCCCCTTTGTTTGTGTCTTCTAGCAGGCGAAGAACGGTATAGCAGAAACTTTCCGCGATCGGGAGCGACAGTCCCAGCCCGGCTAGGAAGTTTGTACCCCCACCTGCCTTCGAAGGGAAACAAACGTCCCACCCCTGGAACAAGCGCACCCGATAGCGAAACCGTGTATGGCATATGCCTCTCTTCGTCAGCCAAGACGCCAAGACTACGCCACGAATTTACGTATGTGTACATACATCTTAACATACATACAAACATACATACACACATCCATCCATCCATCCATCCATCCATCCATACATACATACATACATACAACACACCACACATATGAAACTATAATCCGCCGACCCCTTGGGGATCATCGGCGTGTGAGATGCTTCCCCCTCCCCAAACCCCTCCCCCGGGAGCCCGGTCCGGTCGATTTGGAGGGGGGGGGGGTCCGGGACGAGCGATCCACGGGGCTTTTCCCGGCCCACGAGGGCCTCAAGACGGGCCACGAAGCCCCCAAGAGGCTTCCAAGACGGCCCACGAAGGCTCCGAGACGCCAAACGACCGCTCCAAGACGCCCACGATGGCCCCAAGACGGGCCAAGAGGTCTCCAAGACGGCCTTGAGGTCCCAAATGAGCTTCCCAAGAGGGCCCAAAGAGTCTAAAATTGCTGATTTTCCAGAGTGTTTTTCGATGTTTTTTGCTTTTCCGCCTTTCCGGCTTCCCGACGCTCCAAGACGGCAAAGAGGCCCCAAAGATAGCCCCAAGATGGCCCAAGAGTCCCCCAAGACGGCCTCCAGACGGCCCAAGACGGCCCCAAGACGGCCCAAGAGGTCCCCAAGACGGCCCAAGAGGGCCGATTTGAAGGGGGGGGGGGTCCGGGACGAGCGATCCACGGGGCTTTTCCTGGCCCAAGAGGGCCTCAAGACGGGCCACGAAGCCCCCAAGAGGCTTCCAAGACGGCCCACGAAGGCTCCGAGACGCCAAACGACCGCTCCAAGACGCCCACGATGGCCCCAAGACGGTCCAAGAGGTCTCCAAGACGGCCTTGAGGTCCCAAATGAGCTTCCCAAGAAGGCCCAAAGAGTCTAAAATTGCTGATTTTCCAGAATGTTTTTCGATGTTTTTTCCTTTTCCGCCTTTCCGGCTTCCCGACGCTCCAAGACGCGCGAAGAGGCCCCAAAGATAGCCCCAAGATGGCCCAAGAGTCCCGCAAGACGGCCTCCAGACGGCCCAAGACGGCCCCAAGACGGCCCAAGAGGTCCCCAAGACGGCCCAAGAGGGCCGATTTGGAGGGGGGGGGGGTCCGGGACGAGCGATCCACGGAGCTTTTCCTGGCCCAAGAGGGCCTCAAGACGGGCCACGAAGCCCCCAAGAGGCTTCCAAGACGGCCCACGAAGGCTCCGAGACGCCAAACGACCGCTCCAAGACGCCCACGATGGCCCCAAGACGGGCCAAGAGGTCTCCAAGACGGCCTTGAGGTCCCAAATGAGCTTCCCAAGAAGGCCCAAAGAGTCTAAAATTGCTGATTTTCCAGAGTGTTTTTCGATGTTTTTTCCTTTTCCGCCTTTCCGGCTTCCCGACGCTCCAAGACGCGCGAAGAGGCCCCAAAGATAGCCCCAAGATGGCCCAAGAGTCCCCCAAGACGGCCTCCAGACAGCCCAAGACGGCCCCAAGACGGCCCAAGAGGTCCCCAAGACGGCCCAAGAGAGCCGATTTGGAGGTGGGGAGGGGTCCGGGACGAGCGATCCACGAGGCTTTTCCTGGCCCAAGAGGGCCTCAAGACGGGCCACGAAGCCCCCAAGAGGCCTCCAAGACGGCCCACGAAGGCTCCGAGACGCCAAACGACCGCTCCAAGACGCCCACGATGGCCCCAAGACGGGCCAAGAGGTCTCCAAGACAGGCTTGAGGTCCCAAATGAGCTTCCCAAGAGGGCCCAAAGAGTCTAAAATCGCTGATCTTCCAGAGTGTTTTTCGATGTTTTTTGCTTTTCCGCCTTTCCGGCTTCCCGACGCTCCAAAACAGGCAAAGAGGCCCTAAAGATAGCCCCAAGATGGCCCAAGAGTCCCCCAAGACGGCCTCCAGACGGCCCAAGACGGCCCCAAGACGGCCCAAGAGGTCACCAAAACGGCCCAAGAGGGCCGATTTGGAGGGGGGGAGGGGGCCGGGACGAGCGCACCACGGCCGGGACGAGCGGTTCACGGAGCTTTTCCGGGCCCAAGAGGGCCTCAAGATGGGCCAAGAAGCCCCCAAGAGGCCTCCAAGACGGCCCACGAAGGCCCCGAGACGCCAAACGACCGTTCCAAGACGCCCAAGATGGCCCCAAGACGGGCCAAGAGGTCTCCAAGACGGCCCCCGAGGTCCCAAACAAGCCTCCCAAGAGGGCCCCAAGAGTCTAAAATTGTTGATTTTCCATAGTGTTTTCCGATGTGTTTTGCTTTTCCGCCTTTTCGGCTTCCCGACGCTCCAAGACGCGCGGAAGAGGCCCCAAAGATGGCCCAAGAGGCCCCCAAGACGGCCTCCAGACGGCCCAGGACGGCCCAAAGACGGCCCAAGAGGTCCCCAAGACGGCCCAAGAGGGCTCCAAGACGGCACCACGAGGGGCCCAAGAGGGCGACCAAACATGTTGAAACTCTAGCTTTCTGCCCCCAGGAGCCCCAGGGGGCCCCAAGAGTGCCCCAAGAGGCCCCCGGAGGCCCTCACGAGGCCGCCCAGACGCCCCAAGGAACCCCCAAGAAGCACCCCAGAGGCTCCGAAACGGCCCCCGAGTGGCTCCAAAACTCGCAGTGTCGCTGTCCGCTCGGACCTCCCCGCGGAACTGCCCGAGACCCTCTGGCGGTGGCGGCGAACAGACACCAAACAAATATCACTCGCCTTTTCACCCCTTCGCAGCTTCTACTACCCCCAGATTGGCATAAACAAGGGGTCGGCGGTGTGGCGTAAGCCTAAGAATCATACAAACATACACGCATACATACATACATACATGCATGCATACATACATACATGAACACGTATATACATGCATACAAACCTTCACACATACATATATATATACACACACGTATACATACATACATACATACATACATACCTACCTACCTACCTACATACCTACATACATACATACATACATACATACATACATACATACATGCAACATACATGCATACGTACATTCATATACACATACATACATACATACATACATACATGCATGCATGCATGCATGCATGCATGCATGCATGCATGCATGCATGCATACATACATACATACATACATACATACATACATACATACATACATATGTATACATACATACATACATACATGCATGCATGCATGCATACATACCTACATACCTACCTACCTACCTACCTATCCCTACCTACCTATCTACCTGCATACGTACATACATATACACATATATATATATATATACATTCACACATTCCTACACACATACTGACGGACATACATGAATCCATTCATACATGCATGCATGCATACATACATACATACATACACACACATGTATACATGCATGCATACATGCATACATGCACCTATATACATACACATATATACACGTGCATCTGTATAGAGAGAGATAGAGAGAGATATCTGCCGACGACTGTTGTTCCTCAGGGAGGGTGGTGTATAACATCGCTGGCTCTTCGGCAGGATGACCATGAATCGAATCGATAAATCGGATCGGCGATCAAAAGGAATCGGATCGGCGGAAATCGGCAGCCGAGTCGGGAGACATTGAATCGGCGGAAAACGGCAGGCTAAGAGGCCTCCGCTGAGAAATCCGAATCCACATCGGAATCCCCAGTCGAATCGAATCGAATTCGAAACCATCGAAATCGGATCGAATCGAATCGGAAGAATCGAAACGAGCCCTGTCAGTGGCGACTTACACGCGGCCTCCCTCCCCGTGCGACCCAGAAGCCATCCACAGGAGGGCGCCTGTGCACATCTGTTGCGACGCCCAGACATCCGGCGCCTCCGAAAGGTGTGGCTTGCAAAGGGTGTGGCCTGCAACCGGCACTCCCGGGGCGGGCGGGAACCTCGATGGAGCTCTCCGCCGCGCCCCCGAGGGCTCGACGAGGCCAGCCTCGGGCCTCCCAGGCCCCCACGGCGCCGATCGCAAACCACAGCGCCCGCGTAGCCACGCCTTCTGAAGCCGCCGAGACGCGTGCTCGCCGGCAGCGCCTCCTGCACCGCGGGGGCGGCCAGCTCGCCGTCGGCGTCCGCGCGGATCTTGCCCTCCAGGTCCTCGCAGACGGCCTCGCTGGCCCGCAACTCGCCCTGGAAGCGCTCGATCTCGCGCTCGGCGGCCTCCACGCACGCCAGGTTCTCGCGGCGGGACGCCTCGAGTTTCTGCCTGGTGGGAATAGGAATCAGGACCAACCAGCATCCACTCGGGATACGAATCGGATCGGAATCCGCGTCGGTACGGGCTGGGGGCGGCGCAGGGGGCGCCGCCAGGGGGCCCGGCGCAGACTCCAAGAACTCCGCGCGGAAATGCGAAAGCGTATCGGGTTTCCAGAACCGTATGGTGACAGACCGCGTGGTGATCTTGGAATCACCAACGACGTCACCGCGCGGTCCGTCACCACACAGCACCGGGACTTTGGAGGCCCCAATCACCCCATAGATCCTCGGAAAATGGCCCGAATCCCAAAACCCTTCGGTGACCCAGAATCCCCACGATATTAATTGTGATTTCCAGCCATCCTGTGGTGTTGGGTCGACGTTTTGAAAAGACAATCCCCGCGTCTCTTCCCCTCCTCTCCCGCTCCCCCTCCTCACCCTCGCTACTTCTGCTTTCCGCATCGGTCCACAACTTTGGTACACAACGCACACGTTTCGTGTCCGCGTAGGAAGCTCCATCGAATGCCCGAATGGCATGGTCAACGTGCGGTTCCCCGCCGAACGCATGTCCATTCCAGCACACTTCTCACACGCTTCGTGGCCACATTTGGAGCTCCACCGAAAGCCCCACTAGTAAGGTCCACGTGCTGCTCCCAACCCACATCATGTCAAGCCCGGACCCTCACACGCTTCGTGGCTCCATGAAGGAGCCTCACCGAAGTCGCCAGTGGCAGGGTCCACATACGTCTCCCCGCCCGCCGCATGTCCATGTCGGCGGATCCCTCTGTCGCTTCGTGGGCCCATAAGGATCCCCACCGAAGGCCCTTGTGGCAAGGTCATGATGCGGCTCCCCGCCCACCGCATGTCCGTGCCGGCACACCCCATCACGTGCGTCGTGGCTCTATATGGAACTCCACCGAGGGCCTCCGTGGCAAATTCCAAATGCGTTTCCCCGCCAACCGCATGTCCAATGTCGGCGCACGTCTCGAACGCTTCGTAGCCCCATAGGGAGCTCCACCTGAAGCCCCAGCGGCAGGGTCCAGATGCGGTTCCCCGCCCACCGCATCTCCAATGTCGGCACACCTCTCGAACGCTTCGTAGCCCCATAGGGAGCTCCACCTGAAGCCCCAGTGGCCAACCGCATGTCAATTTCGGCACACTGGTCACACGCTTCGTGGGCCCACAGGGAACTCCACAAAACGCCCCGTTGGCAGGGTCCACGCGCGGTCCCCCGCCCACCAGGTGCCCATTTCGGCACACCCCTCACGCGCGCCGCGGCCTTATAAGGAGCTCCACCGAGGGCCCCAGCGGCAGAGTTTGCATGCGGCCCCCGCCCGCCGCCTCGGAATTCCGGCACACCCCTCGCACGCTGCGTGGCCCCATGAAGAGGAGGACGCCGGCCCAATGCGATCGCGAGGTCTCCCCTGCGCTCTGCCTCCAAGAGCTGCCCGACGCCCGCGCGTTCTGCCCAGCGCTTGGCCCGGTGTCAGCCACCTGTGATCGTTGCTCCTCGCCGCGGACACCCAGCGCGCGTCGCCGGGACTCTTTCGGGGCGACCGGCTCGCGTCGCGGGAACTCCGCAGTGCGCGGTGCAAAGAGCCGCGGTCACAGGGGCGCAAGAACAACGAGGGGATACATTTATATATATACATACAAATATATGTGTATATATGTGTAAACATGTAGATATACATATGACACACGTTCACACACATTCACAGTCACACACACACACCAACAACAACATCAACAACAACAGCAGCAGCAACAACAACAACAACAGCAGCATCAGCAACAACAACATCAACAATTACAACAACAACTACAACAACGACAACAGCAGCAGCAGCAACAACAACAGCAACAACAACAACAACAGCAACAACAGCAGCAACAACAACTACAGCAACAGCAGCAGCAACAGCAACAGCAACAACAACACGAACAACAACGGGGCCTGGGATTCGGGCCACCGCGGGCCAGGCGGGCAGCGACGCACCGCCGCGCACTGGAAGCAAGGAGCGGGGTGAAAGAGCTGGGAGGGAAGTGTGCACGACATTGGCGGCGCATGTGGCTCGCACCACACAATGACCCCCCCCCCCGCGAACCCAACTGCTGCTCGACCCCAGTCCTGGCCGCAGGCCTTCTCCTGGCCCGCTCCTGCTTCGCTCGCACCTGCCCCGCGAGACTCGAAGCCTTCGCCAGGAGAATCGCCTCCGCCAGCGGTCGTTACCCGAAGGCGGGGGGGGTTGGGCGTGGCTTAATGGGGGGGTCACAAATGGGGGATCAGAAAAGGTCCCCTTTCGTACCCCTTTCGGGCCCCTCCAGAGCCCCAGGGGGCTCGTTTAGGTACCGTTTGGGTACCTTTTCGAACCACCCTCGCCACCCCCCCATCTATGACCCCCCATTACGCGGCGCCCAAGGGGGGGTGGGAGCTTGGGCCCCGGGCGGGGTGGGACACAGAGAGGCGGGGGTGTGGTGCGTTCGCCAAAATATGCGCGCGGGCACCAGCATGTGGAGGGCGGTCCACGCCCCCCCCCCCTTCGCACGACCGTTACCAGTACGCGGGGTCGGGGATGGGGGAAGGCAATTGGTCTGGGTTTCGACCTTTACGCACAAGAAGATTTTCTGGGCAACCCTGGGACGTTCTCGGCGAGGCGCAGCTGCTAGCACGCATCCCGAGGCCAAGAAACCCCGCCTATTCGCCACGCGATGTGGTTGCCATACCGTTTGGGGACTGCCAACTTTTTTTTGGAGATACGGCGTATCGACAAAAACAGCAACATCGCAAAACATCGCAACCACTGTCCCATTTGTCTGCAGCATGTTTCGAACTGGATTGATGTGTGCGGGTCCAGGCAGGGGCCCGACACAAACTGCGAGAAGTCACCCAGCTCGAATCATTGCGACGCCAGGATCTCAGGTTTACGCCTGCGCAATTGTCCTACTCCCTTCCAAGACACGCGGCGTCCTGAATTTTGCAATACGCGGTCTCCCGAAATCCCAACCTTTTCCCAGAACCGGCTTTTCAACCTGAATCATTTTCCCGAAGCTCTAAGGGCCCCCATGGAGGCCAAAAGTACAGCCAAACGTATTCAAAAAGCGTACGAAATAGCAGTAGCACGCGTCGCGGGTTCGTTCTGTGCCAGTTCTGTGGCAACTCATGGGAGCCTCCCACGCCATCTTGTTGGCTCTTGCGGATCGACACCCGCCGACGCGAATCGACGCTGCATCGACGCTAATTGAGGCCACACGACGCCAAACCGGCGCTATCCCAATGGGTACCCGACGCCACTCGGGCGCCTCCTGAGCCCGCCGCGGGCGGAGAGCAGCCTGACAGGCTCGAGCAGCGCAGCCCAACAGAAGCACGACGATGTATTCACTCCTCCCCCTCCTCCACCTCCTCCTCCCCCTCTTCCTCCTCTTCCTCCCCCTCCCCCTCCCCCTCCTCCTCCACCTCCTCCTCCTCCTCCTCCTACTCCTCCTACTCCTCCCCCTCCTCCTCCTCCTCCTCCTCCTCCTCCTCCTCCTCCTCCTCGTCCTCCTCCTCCTCCTCCTCCTCCTCCTCCTCACATTTTGTACGCCTATTACGCCCTGTGGGGACGGGCGGCCAGTGGCCAGCCCCGCCCTGTCAGAAAGAGAAGTGAAACCAGAAAGCTTGAGACAGAGGGGTCCCGTCGAGACGATGTTTTGCCACCGCCCCGGCTCAAGTGAAATAGGATCTCTGCCCCGAGGAGGAGGAGGAGGAGGAGGAGGAGGAGGAGGAGGAGGAGGAGGAGGAGGAGGACCCTACGTTTAGCCCCTCCCCGCCCAAAGCGGAACGCCTGGAGCTTGGACAAGCGCTGCCAAACCTGGGAGGAAGAGGCGGTGGAGGAGGAGGAGGAGGAGGAGGAGGCGGTGGAGGAGGAGGCGGAGGGTCCTGCGGGCGGTTCGGCGGGGGAACCTCTGAGAGTCCAGGGTCGCTCCAGGGCCTGACCCGTGCCTCCAGGCAGTATCCCTCGCTTGAGTTTGCCCAGGCCCCTGAACTTAGGGTCTGGGCGGCGCACGGGATCACGCGGCTTAGAAGCCCGACTGGCCGCCATCGCTCCGCAACCCGCACAGTACAGCACCTGGCACACCACCATCCACAGCTTGGGCGGCCCAAAGGATGTGTTGGCACTCAGGCTTCAGCGCGGCACTACGAAACGAACGCATGGACTCCGACAGGTTTCGGCACGCCGTCTTACATAAGAGCTGGCTCACCGATCCGTGGCAGGACACACAGCGCCAAACACCCCAAACGCACACCAGACTGCGCGGCCGACGCGCTTAGGGGGGCAGGGGAGGGGGGAGGGGCACCCGCTCCAGGGAACCATACAACTCTTTAGTCGGTGTCCATAAGTCAAGCGCAACTGTCATAGCTAATGTTGCCCAATTGAACAACTCCGAGCTCTTGTTAAAGGCATCTGAATCATCGGCAGAAAGATAACTGTTGTAGGCTGCGTATTTAGCCTTGCTGTCCGGATGGGCACCGCCACGGATTAGCAGCGGTTCCTGGGGCGACAAAGCATCCGACTTCTGTTTGTAAGCCTTCCATTTCTGCAGATCTACTCTCAGAGACCCTGCAAGTCTCCAATAGGCTGCACGAGCGTTGGCAAGACAGCGTGTTCTGAATAAGTCGGTGGCACCATCGATGAGGCTCCGACAGTCCACGTGCGGGGTGGAGGAAACCGCTGCTACAACTCCGAAGTGTTCTGCTGCCGGTGCTGTTTGGTTGAACGCAGAGGGCATGGGCCCCTGGGTCCGTCTCAAAAAGCCCCCGTCCTCATTGACTTGACAAACGCACCAGCCCGCACGGGTCACTCCAGATTTGTCCCCATGGAAGGAGCTACCACCCAAAACTAAATAGCTCCCTTCACGGTTCTACTTCGACACATTGCTCATCACGGCACTAGAATAATGGAAGCCAGGACAAGGATGGGCAACCAGAGGTGGGTGAAGAGCGGATCTGCCTCCCCCGTGTGCTCCGCCATCTCCAATATATCCTGATCGAGTCTTTCCCGCTCCGCTTCGAAGTGTGGCCATGTCCGCGCGCAGTGATGCGCGCCGTCTGATCGCAAACAGTGATTGCTGTTGCCGTCAGCGTTGCACCCCCTCTCCTAAGGTCTACAGCCATGGTGTAGCCCCCAGAGAACACGGCCACCAGGAAACGTTTCTGGCTCGCTGACACCTCCTTACCTGCAAGCAATCGGCGCGCTGGGACGCGCCACAGACCTCTCGCGATTATCTGTTGGGCCCTGTCATTTGTGTGATCTTCAAGCTTCGACGTTGGAGCACGCTGCAAAAAGGCGCCCCCCCGGTCCTTCGCGAAATGCTGAGCAAGAGTACATGGGCCATCCTGGGTAAGCGACCGCCGAACGCCCCGACGACTGACCATGATAGCTGGCCCGTCCGACCCATTCCCTGCCCCCCGCATCCAGAGGCGCGCGTCGGCGAGAGGCCCCGTCGATCGCCGCGGCCAAGAGACCTTCTCAGGAAGATCGCTGCGGCTTGCCGCCGCACTTTGCAAAACCGCTTCAACGCACTGGCCGCAATGCGCATAGGGGTCGCGGGCAGGGAAGAGATGCACGCCAATATCACGCGACCCCGCTCGTGAAATCCCAGGGGGCCCGGCAGCCATGGAGCCCCGGGGCGCCCACCCTTTCGGGGTGTAGCCAGAGACTTCGCCCCCGTGCGTCACTGCGCTCTGCAGTCCAATAAAGAAAGCTTAGCCTTGGTAGATTTGGGAGCCTTGGTGGCCTTGAGCTTCCCCGGCCTGGCGGACGCGTGCTGGGGGCGCTCGTTGCGAATCCGCCTGGGGTTCGAAGTTTGTGCTTCCCAAAACTGCAGTCCACGCCCAGGTTCCAGGGGGCGCCATCAGGGGGCACCTGCCAGGACCCCCGCGGCTGCACTCGCTGCTTCAACCAAGGCTGGGAGGGATCCAATCACCGAGAGCTTAGCGCAAGCTAGTGGGGCACCTACTTCTTGCGTGGCCCACTGGGCCAGCGCTGAGGCCCTCTCTCTCACCATGGAGACGCATTGGAAGAAGCCTGGTTGAGCTGCATTCAAGGCGAAATCATCAACGTGGATCGTAAGGGCTGAGTTCTGGCACTTCAGCGGCTCTGCAAAATCCGCGATACCTGGCGCTGAGAAGGCTTTCACCTCATATGTTGCCGTAGACGTTCCTGCAATCGCTCCACGTATTGACCAGATCGGGGAGGCTGCATGTCCGTCCATGGCGACGATTCTCTGCCATATGCACATGCTGAAGAAATAGCATGAGGCGACCAAAAGATATTCTACCAGCGCAGCCTGCTTCCGTAATACGGCGCGGCAGAGGTGCTCGTAGCGCTGCTTGAGGTCCCAGATAGCGCTAAACACATTATACCCTCGCTGTGATAAGGGTTCCCCCTTGGCACTCTGCCCCCAGACTACGTCTAGAGGGCCCCTGCCCAAAGACCATGGACAACTGTGGTCGACTGTCTAACTTTCTCTCCAACTCATTAGCTTTATACGCCAGCGTGAGCCCGTGGAGGCGCTCCAAAGACGTGAGAGATCCAAAAGGGCGGCGTCCTCTTCTGGGTTTCCTGAGTGACTGCATGATCACATACTGTTGAGACGTAGGCGCACGACTCACTGCAGTCATCGGAGTGAACATCCCAGACATGACGCTTAGGCTCGCCGAGGAAAGCAGGGAGAACTGCTGCGGGTGACAGCTTCCAGTTTCTGCCGTCCGAGCCTTAAAAATCCGAGAGAGCCGGCGCAAGAAATCTGGTTCAACCCTGGGCGGCAACTCGAGTGGATGTTGAAAGCGCGCTCTGAAACATCAGGGGTGTCCGAAGCTGCCCATGCTGCGCTCCAAGGCTCCCTCTGGTGATGTAGCCCCGCTGGGATATCGCCAGCGACAGTGCCATCCTCTCCCCAGTGAGCCTCCTCTTCGTGCTCAGGCGACAGTCTGGTCATGGCGCGCGCTGCTCCTGCCCCTCCTGCCAGCGCCTGCTCGCACCACTGCTGCCCCCCCTCTCTCCTCAGCTCTTTTTTTTTTCTACGGCGTTCTGTTGCTTAGTGGACATGTTGGCGACGTCGACGAAGGCAGTCGTTTCGGACATCAGCTGAAGATCTGGCCAGGCGCGATGCTTCAGGAGGCGCAGCTGCAAGTGATCAAGCATCATGATGCAGACAGCCGCCTTTATGTTGAATGCAAGGGTCCTCCAGCATGAATGATGCGCCCCGCTGATCTGAGCAATGTCCGACAGTGTCCCGACGGCGCTGACTGCCCCCCTGCGGGCGCGCAGTCGGCGCGGCTCGACGCGACGGTCCCTCCACCAGTGGATGGCTCGCCCTGGGGTAGGGAGAGGGTTCTGTTTGGTGGTAGGAACCGTCCTCGCTGGTCTGAGATCTATAGCGAAACGCCCCCCAGCAGGCGCCCCAACCGCGGGTGGGGACTGCGTTGCAACCCAGAACTCCTGCCAAGCTTTTGGGCCCCAGTCCTGGCGGGTCCCATCCAAGACCTGCTGGCCTCTCTGTTTCACATCTCCCGAGAGCGCATGCAGTAAGCCTCCTATTCTAGCCTCCTCCAAGAGACCGTCCAGCTTCACAGCAATCTGGTGGTAATCTGGAGGCGGGGCCTGAGGGCCCGCCGCAGAGTGGGCAGGAGGCCTGGCGAACCTCTTGCGGACAGGCACAGTGAAGTCATTCACAGCGCGCTTTACCGAAATGGACGCAGGCCTGCGAGGCGAGGGAACACTGGTCAGATCAAATTCCGGGTCCGAAGTGGTGGCCGAAATGGTACAGCTCAAGGTAAAGTAGTCCAACATATCGCTTCTAGACTTGCCTTCCTTGGTGTACACATGCGAATGATAATGTATAACACTCCCAATGGTGGCCGGTATAACCTTTAGACCCACTGATTCTCGCAATGATCATGGCGCGCGGTTCCAGCCGCCTGCCGCAATGAGAGGAACACCTGGGGGCAACGCGTGAGCACCGAAGACCCTGAGCAGTGGCATGTTATCTCTGGTCATACCTATGCTGGCCTTGAAGCTGGCCGAATACACCCCAGAGGTCCCGACAGCTGCTGTTCTGATATAGCAGTGGGCAGCACTTTGGGGAACGACCGACGAAGATGGAGACCGTGCATCCAGACACCAACATGCCATAAGACATGCACCAGCGATCGGGTTGCCCTCCAAAGAAACTCCTGCTTCCGTCCAAAAGCTCTTCCAACCGAGCCTCGTCAACTGAATGGCCCTCTCCTTGAGCTCTGACCCCCGAAGACGGTGCTCTACAGACACCGACACATTTCGCGCGCTCAACCTCGGCGAAAACCGATCCCCACCCAGAACCATTCACAGCAAAGGCGTTGAGGGGCATGCCCCCTGCTGGGTGGCGCTCCGCGGCCAGATGCTGCCCATATCTGCTCACGCCTGGGGGACCTGCTCCCCCGCCTGTCTCCTCTGTCACTTCCAACCTCTGCGCCGCCATCACGACATCCGGGTGCTGCCTGCTGCCTTTGGGGAGTCTGCTGCTGCAGCTGCCGCTGCAGGTGTGCTGGGGGCTGCTGCGGGCGTACCTGGTGCTGCTGGTTGCGCTTCTGCTCCTGCTCCTCCAATTGCTACCGCCTCGGCCCTGCCACCTGCTCCTCTCGCTCCTTCCTTGCCTTCTCCTCTGCCTCCTCTCCCGTCTCCCAGCCCTTGACCACGTCCCTCAGAAAAAAAGCGACGGGTCGAAATATCTGCTGGGCGCGCAAAAGTCCTAGTCCGAGGTTCCTGGAAAGGGCATGCGGGAACTCTTGTTGGCGGGTCCCATCGTCCTTTTCGAAAACCTGCCCGTTCCTCCTCCTCCTCCTCCTCCTCACTGGGTACGGGGTTGGGTGCGGGCATAACCTCATCAAGAATCGACTCGAGGGCCTTCTGAACCTTTGGGTCATAGCTGGAAGCAGCACCTTCGAACTTCAGGCGAGACGCTTGATCTTCTCATGTCTGGCCGTTCGTCCTCCTGCGCTCCTTTTCTGTATCCATTTCCTGCTTCGGTTTGACGATATCCTCTCCTGCCAAGCGAATGGTCTCCTCCAGCTCCCTACTTTCTTTGATGAGATCGGCCTGGCGCCGCCCAGCTGCAGCGACACGTTTCTCAGCCCTGCCGGCTGCCTGTTCAGCACGCTGGAACCTGATCCCAGGGGGAAGGGCCTCCAACTTGTCCTGGCGAGTGGCACCCACTCCTCACTGCACCTCTGCTGCCAAGGCCCTCTCAGCCTCGGATTGTCCAAGGCACTGCTGGAGTTCACTGTCCAGCTGAAGCGCTTTAGCTGGGGCGGAACCTTTACCTTACCTCTGGCACTGTGGCGTGCCTTGCCCGAATCCTGCTGCCCTCCACCTTCCCCTCCTCCCTCTGGCTCTGATGTTCCCAGTCTTTCCGAACTCCTCGAAACTTAGGGGGTACTGATGGACTGACACCTTCGGGTCGCGCCCCACAATGCTTACATCATTTCCAGTAGTACAGATTCTTCCGACATCCACACTTCTGGCAAGCCCACTTAGCAGTACATCTGCCACTGCCACGAGAGCCACATTGCCACCCCATGGGACGGCGCTCGCAAAAGGACCGAGGTTCCGCAAGGTAAGAGGGTGGGGTCGCGAACCCCTGGCCAGGAAGACTCTGAAGGGTCGGAACCCTGAACACGCCACAATCTCTTGAGCGAGGCTGGAAGTTCAGGAACAGGCCCCTTGACCAAAATGGTTACGGTTTCCTCCTCCTCCTCCTCCTCTTCCTCCTCCTCCTCCTTCCCCTCCTCCCTTCCTCCTCCTCCTCCTCCTCCTCCTTCTCCTCCTCCTCTCCTTCTCCTCCTCCTCCTCCTCCTCCTCCTCCTCCTCCTTCTTCCCCTCCCCCTCCTCCCCGACGCCGGACAAAACACGTCACGAGGCCCTTCCGCGCGCTGCCGACCGCACTGCTTCTTTTGGCCCCTCGGCTGCCGCAGCTGCCGCAGGCTCTCCAGCAGGCGCTCCTCGCTGGCCGCCAGGCGCGTGCACCGGGCCTCCAGCTCGCCAGCGCGGGCCCGGGCGCTCTCGTGGGCGCCCCCTGCGCGGGCGGTGGGGGACAACCTGGGAGGTCGACTTCTGGGAGGGTGACTTCTGAGTTCCCAGACCCCCTCGAGCAATGGAAAAATCAAGACGGGAAGTTGTTTGCCACTTTCGGAATCTGGGGGCCCTCGCAAAAAAACGACTCAGGATGAGAAACCGGTCCCGGGTAATGGGTCCAAACCTCTGGGGGTCGACGTTGTGAAATAATCATGACGTCGGGGTCTGGGTTTGCCCTGGTCCAAAGTCCGGCTTACTCTAGCTTGGCCCCGTCCAGCTTGCGGCCTCATCCAGCGTGGCAGCCCCCCAAGGGGGATTGATCCTCCTTCCTGCGAGGACCTCCCAGTAGTTGCCTCTTGAACCCTGACCTGCTGCAGGAGGGCTGACAAGTAGCCCCAAGATCTCGACATCTAAAATCTGAATCCCAGTCGTTTTTCTGTTTAGCAGTCCAGAGGTCTACAGGTCTGGAGGGCTAGTTTTTAGCACTCTGGGAGGTCAGGGAAGGGATCCCGCCTTGGGACGCCGCGGGGGCTCCAGAGGGATCTTGCCAATGCCACTTTGACCAACGAACGCATTCGCCTGGTTCTGGGCCCCCAGACACTCACAGATCGATCGGGCTCGAAACATGGAGCGGATAGGCCCTGGGGCTATGGTTGTGATTCTCTCCAGGCGTTGCAATGTTCGCAGAAAGGAGAGTGGGGAGGGTACAAATGGATGGAATGGGTGCTTGGGCCGAGGGCCATCGGACGAGATGTTAGGAGGCAGCGTCTGGGAGGTCTTCGCAGGAACGAGAAAGGGCTACTACGCCCGACTCAGGGGCCACTGAGCAAGGTCAGGCTGGATTGCACCCAGGGTTAAGGCTGATCAAGCGGGACTAAGCTGGATCAGGCATGGTCAATCCAAATGAGGCGAAACTGCACCAAATAAGCCCCACCTTCAACCGGGGATGCACCGGCGCAAGCTCAGAAGTTACCCTCCCAGGAGTTGCATGCTCAGGGATGGGTGGGAGGGACCCAGACATGCAACGTCCTGATTTGTTTAGTACGGCGTCCCCGGAAGTCCTGACCTTAGGTCGGGCCTGTCCCCCTACAGGGGGATGTCTGGCGAAAAATAAAATGTCCCCCCCCCCACACCCCACAACAAAAAGAACACCAAACATGCTAAAAACAAAAACTGCAAAACACCTATTATTTTAAAACTAATTTTAAATTTTCCCCCCTGTAGAGGGACAGGCCCGACTTAATCCTGACCCTTTCCCCAGGGCCCGTTTTTCCTCCCGAGTCGTTGTTTGGAGGCTCCCGGGGGCCGGCGAGGGTCTCCAGGGGTCGAAAATAGCGATCACCTTGCCGCCCTGCTTTCTCAACGAGGCGATCATGTCTAGGGTGGCAGGGTCGGATGTCAGCTGTGGCGCGAGCGCGCCTAGCTTGGCCACGCCCCCCACCCCCCGTCCAGCCCAACCCGGCTCCGCCGAGCAGCAAAGCGCCGTGCCCTCTGGGAGAACCCCCGGCGTGCCGTCGGGTCTCCGCGAGAGGGGCCGTCGCGGGGCCAGCAGACGGGGCCAGCCCTAAGTCGGGCGTGTCCCTCTACAGGAGGAATATCCAAAAGTAGTAAACAATACTCTGGGGACGATTTTTTGAATATTTTTGAATATTATATGAAGAGAATGTTGTTTTACATGTCTTGTTCTCTTTAATCCCTCCAATATCCGCCTGTAGGGAGGCATGCCCGACAGGCCAGCCGAGGGGAAGTACACTTGGATCAGGGGAGGTGCTCAAAGGGGGGTGCCGGTGGATGCTGATGTGGCTCATATCTGGCCTAACCTAGCTCAGAAGCGGGCTGCACATGCACTGTATGTGGCTCGGGGGTGTACGGATCTCGGCTCAGGGGCGGAGCCCACTTCGCGGAATTATCCCATCACCCTGAGCCGCTCAGAGCACGTGTAGCCCACTGATACGCTGGGTGAGGCCATACATAACTGGGCAACAAGCGAGGGGGGGGAAATGAGAAGGGGACGGCCTTCTCAGAAGGCTCGAAGTCCTCCGCGGCCTTCGGAAAAGTTGTCTGTGCGCTCTCCGAAGACACAGAGAACCTCTTAGCTTAAGTTGCTCCCATCGCGCTCAAGAACCACATCCCAGAAATAGTTTCGAGCGTCCCGATAGAGTATCGAAACAGTGTCGAACGAGTATCGCCTCCCAGAGCCCGACACATCAAAACCCTCCAGTTTCGGTACTTTCTTGGTGCTCGATTTTTTTTTCTGGTGATCGAGGCTGAAGCAGGTTGGAGCATCCTAACTCTTAGAAGGCGGGAGGGCTTCTGATAAGTCTCGCCGCCTTGGTGCGATCCAGGTTGAGGACTGGCGGGCCTTCGGCCCTCCAGGGATGGTATCCTTCCCGACTCTCACGTGTTGGGTTCTCGTTCTCAATAGAGCGCTTTGGTCTCCGTCCCTCCCCCCGCCTCCCCCTCCTCCCCCTCCTCCCCCTCGTCCCCCTCCCCCCTCCTCCCCCTCCTCCTCACAACTCCCTGGAGGGCTGCGAAGTGTGCAACCTGCCGCCGCTCCCGTGCGCTCCTGGGAGGCCCAGCGGAGTGGGGTGGTACGCAGGTCCAGCCGAGACCTCGCGGCTCCGTGAAGGGTTGCGAAGTGCGCAACCTGCCGCCACTTTCGTGGGCTCCTGGGAGGCACAGCGGAGTGGGTTGGTACGCAGATCCAGCCAAGACCTCGCGGCTCCGAGACCTCGCGATTCCCTGGGGGTCTGCGATGTGAGTTCCTGTCGCCACGTTCGTAGACTCCTGGAAGGCCCAGCGGAGTGGGGTGGTATGCAGTGTTGATGTATGCCGTTGAAAGCTGCTCGAGACGCACGTGCTTGATGCACATAACTGATGCATGTCATTGTTATCTGTCCTTAGTGCCGGTTCTCGACGTGCATCCTTGCTGTATGTCTCTCGGTGCTCGTTTTTCGCGCGTTCCCCTTGCCGGTTCTCGATCATTGGTGTGGGATCGAACTACGTTCTTGATGTACGTCAGCTGCAAAGCCTACCATGGAGGCCCGACCACAAGACACCTTCCACAACACATCCAACCCTGAGACCCCAGGACGTCCACTGACTTTTGGTGTGGAGGCCTCACGCTCCCCATAGCCAAAACATCGAAACTGAAGAAACCCAGAACACCCTGGAGGCAAGCAGGGTGTCTCTTGGCATGGGCCCCCATTGTAGACTACTGATGTTAAATCGATGCGCAATTCAAGATTTAGCTTAATATTGTTCTAAGCCCAGACAGGCGACGTCCTGATTTTTCATGACGGCGTCCCGAAGTCCCGACCCTTTCCTCGGGCCGGGCGAAAGGGGGGGATAGCAAAGGGGGGGTTTGATAATCAGCTCGCGTAGCTGATTTTCCTAGCGCCTCCGGGCGCCGGAGGCGCCCATGTATCGAGGAATGGGCTCCCCGATGGGGCTGAAACCAACTGCATGCAGCAGATTTCGTACCTCATTTCCTCATCCCCCCTTTCGTCCGGCCCGATTTACCCAGGACCGGCTTTTCATCCAGTGTCGTTGTTGAGTCTCCCGAGCCCCCCCCTGCGAGGGCCGCCCGAGGCCGAAAACTAGCCAAAACCTTCCGTCCTGATGTTTTAACGACGCGAGCATGTCTGGGTATGTTTTTTCTCTGAGTGGTATTGGCGTCTTTTCGAGGCAGGATCCTCCCGTCCGGACTCTCCGAGACCCCTCGGGAGATCCCGGGCCTGGCGGTCGCGGCATGCAGGGCTGGCGAGAGGCGGGCCTGGCCGCCGACGTCTGCAGGGCTGGCGGAGGGCCCCTCTCTTCACATTAGGTCGGGCATGTCCTCCCACAGGTGGATTTTGGAGTAAGATTCAAATGCCCAAAGCATATTCAAAAGTAATCAGAATTCCGCCGGCCCACTTGTGGGGCCACCAGGCTGTAAGCTCAGGGTTTGCTGTTCCCTGCACCAGTTCCAGTTTCCATTTTCCACTGTTGCAGTTCTGCTTCTTGTTGCTTACTGTTCCTTGTTGTAGACCTCGCGAGGGGGGGGGCCGAACACCGCCTTTGTCAACACGTCCCGGGAGGGGTCTCTGAATTTCTGGGGGGTCGAAATTTACACCCCTCACGCAGATCGGCGGGGTCAGGGTCCAAAAACAAATGGGATTTGCAACATGTCTTAAATTCGGTGGCACCCCTCACGCAGATCGGCGGGGTCAGGGTCAAAAAAACAATGGGATTTGCAACATTTCTTAAATTCGGCGGCACCTCTCACACAGATCAGCAGGGTCGGGGTCTAAGAACACATGGTCTTTACCACAATTCTGAAATTCGGCGGCGTCTCTCACGCAGATCGGCGGGGCCAGGGTCCAAAACCACATGGGATTTGCCACATTTGTGAACAATTCGGCGGTACCCTTCACGTATATCGGCGGGATCAGGGTCGAAAAACCTATGAGATTTGCCACGTTTGTGAAATTCGGCGGCACCCCTCACGTAGATCGGCAGGATCAGGGTCGAAAAACCAATGGGATTTTCCACATGTATGAAATTCGGCAGCGCCTCTCACACAGATCGGCGGGGTCAGGGTCCAAAACCACATGGGATTTGCGACATTTCTAAAATTCGGTAGCACCCCTCACGCAGATCGGCGGGGTCAGGGTCGGAAAACCCATGAGATTCGCATATTTCCCAAATTCGGTAGCACCCCTCGCGCAGATCGGCGGGGTCAGGGTCGGAAAACCCATGGGTTTTGCCACATGTCTAGACATTCGGTAACACCTCTCACGCAGATCGGCGGGGTCAGGGTCGAACAACCCATTGGATGTGCCAGATTGTTGGAAGTCGGAAGCACCCCTCACGCAGGTCGGCCGGGTCAGAGTCGAAAAAACAATGAGATTTGCCACATGTTTCAAACTCAGTGGCACCCCATCACGCGGATCGGCGGGGTCAGGGTCGGAAAACCCATGGGTTTTGCCACATGTCTAGACATTCGGTAACAGCCCTCACGCAGATCGGCGGGGTCAGGGTCCAACAACACAAGGGATTTGCCACACTTCTGAAATTCGGTGGCACCCCTCTTGCAGACCGGCAGGGTCAGGGTCGAAAATCCTATTGGATTTGCAACATGTTTTGAAATACAGTGACCTCCACGCAGATCGGCGGGGTCAGGTTCCAAAAACACAAACAAGAATTGCCACATTGTTGAAATTCGGTGGCACTCCTCATGCAGTTCGGCGGGGTCAGGGTCGACAAACACATGGGAGTTGCCACATGTCTTGAAATTCGGTGGCGCCCCTCACGCAGATCGGTGGGACCAGTGGCAGAAAAAAAAAACAGATGAGATTGGCAACATTTCAATACTTCGTAGAAAAGCTTTTTGCGCAGAATGCGCGAGCAGCCTCGAAATACAGCACCGAATTCAACAATATCATCATAATCCCAATTTGTCTTGCCGATTACTCATCGTCTTCGCGTGAAGTCCCGACGCTGCTTCACGGCGGCGCCAAGGCCTCATGATTTCGCACTTGCATTGCCCATTATCTGAGAGAGGGGCCCGGCGGAAGGGGGCGAAGCCCTTACGGATAGTAGATCAATTGTCCCCAGACCATGTTTTGACTACTATTGAATAGTCCTCCTGTAGAGGAACATACCCGACTTCATCTTCACATCTGCCAGCCCCAGCCTGTCGGGCACGGTTATAAACGTCTGGCAACACATTTAGCGGAACGAAGAATGACATAAACATAAAACAACCGGATGTCCGCGCGGATATCTCGGATCTGCGCTGGACCCCCCCTGACGGCGCTTTCGGCGCCGCCCGCGCGCCAGGGAGGGGGGTCCAGCGCCGATCCGAGAAATCCGCGCGGACCTCCCAGTTATCACCGTCGGGGCGTTGACCTAAGGAACCCTAAATAAGGGGCGGGGCCCTTTTTTTCCATAAGTTAAACTTCGATTCCCGATCGAGAACATAAGGAACACCTGAGGCAAGCTGAGAAGCACTTAAGGCACGCGGAGCCCCTCCCCAACCAAAAGGGTTCCTTCTTCAGGGCCCCGACCGTCTGTTTGTGCCACTCTTCATCCCCTAGGCTTGGAGGTCGCTTGGGGGGCAGCGTTGTTTCCAGGGCCAGATCCCAATGCGCTCAGCCGGCGCGCTTGATCCGTCAATACCATTCCTTACGACACCCATTCGCGACAAGTCCGGACCTTAGGACGATTGGGCTGCTTAGGCTTGCTCTTGCCCTACAAGCATTGCCTCCTCCTCCGTCGCCCCAGAAACACAGATCGCGTCCGCTGCCCCTCAGCGATCTGAAACCCTAAGCGTTCCCCACAGGAGCGATGAAACGACGCGGGCCTTGCGCGAGATGGCAGCGCGACCTCCCGCTGCGGCTCACACGGGCCGCCGGCGCGGAGGGGGAGAAGAAGGAGCGAGGAGGAGGAGAAGGAGGAGGAGAAGGAGGCGGCGGCGGAAGAGGAGGTCGAGGAGGAGGAGGAGGAGGAGGAGGAGGCGGAGGAGGAGAGGAGAGGAGGAGGAGGAGGAGGAGGAGGAGGAGGAGGAGGAGGAGGAGGAGGAGGAGGAGGAGGAGGCGCTGAAAAGGCGCGGGCCCTGCGCGAGATGGCAGCGCGACCCCCCGCTGCGGCTCACGCGGGCCGCCGGCGCCGCACGCTGGCAGCGGAGGCGGGGGCGCCGACGCGCGACCTCGACGCGGGGCTGCCTGCAGCAGGAGCTCGACCACGAGGAGCCTCCCGCAAGACACCCCGCCTTGAGATACTCCAGATTTCGCATTAAAAGGGAGGGGGTCTCAACCCTCCCAGCCGAAAAGTTTTAGACCCCCCCCCCCTGGGAGAACCCTCCAAAACATCGTCCCCAGACCCCCCCAGGCCCTCCAAGATAGCCTGGAAGAGACCCTTCCCGAAATGAGACCCCCCTCCCTATATTACGAAATCTGGAGTGCCCCAGGATGTCCATCGTTTTTTGGTGCGGGGGCGTCACGCTTTCCATTGCGAAGCCATCGGTCTTAAACCCAGGGCACCCTGGAGGCAAGCAGGGTGTCTCGTGGCACGGGTCCGCGCCGAGTGGCAGCAACCTCGGTACGGTCGCGATGCCATCTCGCGCAAGGCCCGCGTCTTTTCATCGCTCCTGTGGGGAACGTTCTGGGAGTGAAGAGTGGCATAAAGAGTTCGGTACGCGCCACTGTCAGCGCAGACGAACCTGTTTGCTGGTGTCGCTCACGAGCGAGACCCCTGTTCAACATGGTGGCCTGCCCGCAAGCCCGGCACCAGCGCCGCCTCCCTCGACACCTGCCGGGGGTTGCCGAAGTGGCCGTGTCCCACTGTGCGCCCAAACCGTCGTGCCTTTTATGAGCCAACGAGGTCCCGTCGGCCTCGGAAGGGGCGCTTGGCATGAAACAGACGCGGCCTGGGGAAAACCAAGAACCCAAGAACCAGCATTTTATCCTGAAAAGCTGTTCGAGAAACCCCTGGGTTCATGAAGGGCCCAGGGACCCTGAAAACGGCGCAAAAACCTCAGGACCCCTTTCCTTCGTGGCGAGATGCTCCTGGAAGCCTCCCAAGTGGGGTCCGAGTGGGTGCGGTCGGAGGATCGCGCCGCATCGCCAATGTAGTAAAGACGTATCAGCGACGCATGGGCGACGTTGGCGATGCATCGATGCTGTCGGCGTGGGAGAATTTGGGAGCTACATCAGGGCGCATCGTCGGTGCATCGGCGACGTCGGCGCATGCCGCCGACCCCATCTCCGACCTGCCTGGGAGCCTGGAGCTCTGGCAGCTGCGGGGCCTCCCTGGGAGTTCTGGAGGCACCGCAGGAGCAGAGACACGACTCGGAGGGTGCAATAGGTGTCCTTAGCCCCAAGGTGCCTCCAGCTTTTCGCTATCTGTTGCAACCGCTGGGGCCCTCTGGGCCTCGTTATGGGGTGCTCTGGAGGCCGTGGGGGCAAACTTGAAAAGCTGGGGGGGCACCTCCCCTGAGATCCGACATTGCGACGGCATTGCAGCATCGAAAACAATCACGACTGGAGCCCCAAACCCCTTCTTCCTGTGGCACGTGTTCGAACCGGATCCACCTGTGAAGGTCCCGGAGCCCGAATCTGGGCAAAAAACGTCCATTGCCCGGATCTCAGGGTCTTGGGAAGCAGCTCTTGGGGGGTCTTCGTCAGAACGATCATGTGAAAGGTACGAACGGCGATGAAGGGGCCTCTGAATCGGATTAGTAGGCCGACTACAACCAGGATTCAACAGGATTTCAGCGGGACTAATCCAGATTCGGCCAGTTTTCGACCAAGGACATACCAGCGCCGCACGTGGATCAAACATCAAAGGAATTGCACTCGAACAGAGCCTCTTATAAGGCTGGGCTCGAGGTGGGTTCGGAGGACTGCACTGAATCGCCGGCACATCGCCGATGCATCGGCGATGCATCGGCGACGTAGGGAATGCAGCAGCGATGCCGGCGTGGCGAAAGTCGAGATCCTCATCGAGCCGCATCGCCGATGCATCGCCGATGCGGCGTGATCTCCCGGCCCCATCAGCTCGGATCCGACTGGTAAGGCCCGGAGGGGTGTTCGGGGCATAACTCGGGCCTCGGGCGGCCGTTCGGCACGCTCATGGCACCCCCGAAACGCTCTCGACGAGGCGCGGCTGCGGAGTGGGGAAGATCTCGAAGCACGAGCCAAACCAAAAGAACACGTAGGCCAACTGGTCCCGATCTGAAAGGCCTAGACATACAGTGGAGGTCAGACCACAGGGAACCTTGCACAAGACACCCAACCCTGGGATCCCAGGACGCCCATTGATTTTCGATGTGCAAACGTCACGCTTTCCATAGCAAAACCATAGAACCCAAAGCACTCTGGAGGCCCCGACTGTAGGACAACTGGTCCCAATCTGAGAGGCCACACCTGAAGGGTCTGGCACCACCCGAAAACCATGGCAAGAGCCCCAATTAGCCTCGCTCGGCAGCGACGGGCGCGGTGGCCCAGCGGGCGCGATGGCGGCGGATGGGGAGAGAACAGAAGACGGAGGGGCAGAATGAGGAGGAGGTAGAAGGAAAGAGGGAGGAGGGAGGAGGAGAGGGGGAGACGGGAGGGAGGAGGATTATGAGGAGGAGGGGGAGGAGGAGGAGGAGAGGCACGCGCGGGCGGAGGAGGGTGGTGGCTCCTTTTGCTCCCAGGAGGGGGAGGAGGAGGAGGAGGAGGAGGAGGAGGAGGAGGAGGAGGAGGAGGAGGAGGAGGAGGAGGAGGAGGAGGGGCACCCATGGAAACCCAGGGGATACCCTACCCTCTGGCACCACCCGAAAGCCCTTGGCAGGGAGCCCGCGCCTCGCGCGGCAGCGACGGGGCCCTCTGCCGCACCACCGCGCCGAAGGCCATCCGAGGGCCCGCCGCGCCCGGGGGACGCCAGCCGGGCGGCTGCGCCACGGGTGCTGCTCTGGCCGGCGGGCCCTGGAAACGACAGGGCCGTTTTGTTACCGGTTCCGTTGTGCCGTTTTTTTTTGCGGGTTCCGACGCCGTTTCTTTACCGGTCCCGTCGCCGTTTTTTGACCGGCTCCGGCTCCGGTTCCACTCCTGGGGCAGTTTTTTTGCCGTTTCCGGTCGCCGTTTTCTTGCCGTTTCCATTTTCAAGGTCAAGGGACATCTTTTTGGAAACGGTGAAAAAAACGGCCCGGCCGTTTCCGGGGCCCGCAAAGCCAGCCGGGCGTCTGCGCCACGGGTGCTGCTCTGGCCGGCGGGGCTCCCCTCGCGGGCCTCCCCCTGCCTGCTGCTGCCCCTCTGCGCTGCCAGGTCCCCAGACGTGCTCGCGGCGTGAAAAAAATATCCCGGCAAAGCAGCCTAACAGCGATGTGTAGGATTATATCTGGAAGCATTCCCCTTAAGATTCAGATGAGAATCCAGTTGTAGAATTCTGCTGTTCTCGCAGTCGTAGTCGCATTCGCGATGACAGTCGCAGTGGCAACGGCAGTCGCAGTCACAGCCTCAGCCTCAGCCTGCCTCAGCCTCAGCCTCAGCCTGCCTCAGCCTCAGCCTGCCTCAGCCTCAGCCTCAGCCTGCTTCAGCCTCAGCCTCAGTCTGCCTCAGCCTCGGCCTCAGCCTCAGCCTGCCTCAGCCTCAGCCTGCATCAGCCTCAGCCTCAGCCTCAGCCTGCCTCAGCATCAGCCTGCCTCAGCCTCAGCCTCAGCCTGCCTCAGCCTCAGCCTCAGCCTGCTTCAGCCTCAGCCTCAGTCTGCCTTCAGCCTCGGCCTCAGCCTCAGCCTGCCTCAGCCTCAGCCTGCATCAGCCTCAGCCTCAGCCTCAGCCTGCCTCAGCCTCAGCCTGCCTCAGCCTCAGCCTCAGCCTGCCTCAGCCTCAGCCTCAGCCTGCTTCAGCCTCAGCCTCAGTCTGCCTTCAGCCTCGGCCTCAGCCTCAGCCTGCCTCAGCCTCAGCCTGCCCCAGCCTCACAAATCAGCCTGCCTCAGCATTCAAAATGTGGCCCGGGAATGGAGTTCTGGGAACTCGAAGAACACAAAGTGGCCTACAGTTGGCTCTGGGCATTCAAAATCATGCCCAGGAATGGAGTTCTGGGAACTCGAAGACCACGAAGTGGCCTACAGTTGGCTCCGGGCATTCACATCATGCCCAGGAATGGAGTATGGGAACTCGAAGACCACGAAGTGGCCTACAGTTGGCTCCGGGCATTCAAAATCATGCCCAGGAATGGAAGTCTGGGAACTCGAAGACCACGAAGTGGCCTACAGTTGGCTCCGGGCATTCAAAATCATGCCCAGGAATGGAAGTCTGGGAACTCGAAGACCACGAAGTGGCCTACAGTTGGCTCCGGGCATTCAAAATCATGCCCAGGAATGGAGTTCTGGGAACTCGAAGACCACGAAGTGCGTTACTGTTTGCTAAAGAAGGAGTCCCCGGATCCCGTCCGGCATCTGCCCAGACCCCCCTGGGGAGTCATGATGCTCTCTTTTGAAACCACTAGAAGCCTATCAGGTTTCGCTGCTAGGTAATCAGGACGGGAAGATTTCCAAATTTTCGGCCTCGGGGTGCCCTCGCCGGGCCCCGGGACCGTCAAAAAACTACTCAGGATGAAAAACACGTCCTGGGGAAAGGGTCGGGACTTCCGGGGACGCCGTCCTGAAAAAATCAAGACGTCGCATGTCTGGGACTGTAGAGGCCCGTCCAAGGAGGCCTGCTCGCAGGTTGCATGGGGGTTTGTGACGCAGTGCCGCTGGCGCGCGCGGGGCGTGCCGCAATGCTGAGCGAGAGCTCACGAGCATAATTAATCCACGCTCGCCTGCCAAGCACTCACCTCTCGCACAGGCGGCCTGCTTCCGCCTCCTCTCCCGCTTCCGCCACAACTATGGGAGCCGCCCGCGCACATGCACCACACACACACACACACGATAACTTTGAGCGTCGCGGGCGGGGCGAGAAAGCCACGCGGCCGTTCGGCAAATGCCCCCGACGGGCCGACGTAGGGCTAGGCAAAGAAGAGAAGCCGACGGGCCCTCACTGCGCAAGCACCGCAGCGGGGTGGCGGCGCCAGCGGGCCAGAGGCGGCGGCGGCAGCGTATATATATATATATATATATATATATATATATATATACACACACGCGCGCTTCGCGCGCGCTTAGGTTCTAGCGCGGACTTCCCCGATTGTGAACGCGAGCTCGCACAGAAGAGGGACAGGCGGATCGGTCGCAGCATCATCGACAAGTCGCAGCAGCTTCAAGGATGGAGGGGCGGCTGTTTGTTTTCAAAACGTGACTATCGCCCCAGCGCCGCGTGCTTTCCGATGTCGGTGTTTGCAGCCGCTGGCAGGACCGAGGGCGGCTCCTCTTCAACACGTGGTAGGCGCCCTGGCGCCGCACCGCCTTGGGGCCCTCGTGGGCCGCCCAGGGCCCTCGTGTAAGCCTCTTCGGCTATCTTCGAGCTGTCTTGGAGACCTCTTCCTCCTCCTCGCCCCCCTCCTCCTCCTCCTCCCACTCCAGCTCTCTCTCCTCCTGATCTTCATCCTCCTCCTGCAACGTGTTCCGGAAGGCTCCCGCCGGAACATGCTGTGAACAAGTGCTGTCACTGCTCCCGCCACCGTGCCCTGGGTGGTGGGTCTGAGGCCTCATGGGTGTTGGTTTGGATCTCGTGGTTGGCCTGTCGGGGACGTCGTGAAGGCAGTTTCGCAGTTTCTCGGTAGCCGTTTTGGGACCGTTGTGGGGCCTCCTCGGGGCTGTTTTGTGGCCTCTTTAGGCCTCGTTTGGGCCTCCTGGGTGCCTCTTGGGGGCCTCCTGGGGCCTCTTGGGGGCTCCTTGGGGCACCCTTCAAGCCGGAGGGTCGAATCTTGGAGTCGTGGTCCCCGTCTTGGGCGCATCTTGGGGCCGTCTTGGGGCTCTGTTGGGCTGTCTTGGGCGACTCTGGGGCCCTCTTGGGGCCCTCTTGGGCCGTCTTGGGGCGCTCCTGGGGGCCTATTGAGCCGTCTTGGAACGTCGGACAGCCGAAAAGGCTGGAAGGTCAAAATCGTTCGAAAACCTTCGTATTTTTGACGATTTCGGCCTCTTGAAGCGCTCTGGAGAAGCGTCTTGAAGCGTCGTGGAGTGCCTTGGGGGGCCTCTCGGGCCGTCTTGGGCCTATCTTGGGCGTCCTGGAGCGGTCTTTCGGCGACTCCGGGCCCGCTTGGGCCGTCTTGGGGCTCTCTTCGCCCGTCTTGAGCGCGTTTTGGGCCGTCTTGGGGCCCTCCAGAGCCGTCTTGAGCCCCTCTTGGAAGCCTCGTGGGCTCTCTTGGGGCGTCCGCGGGGGGCCTTTGAGCCGTCGTGGAGCGTCGGAAAGCCGAGAAGGCGGGAAAAGCAACATGTGTCCAAAACCTTCATAAAATAAACGATTTCGGCCTCTTGAAGCGCTTTGGAGAGGCGTCTTGAAGCGTCGTGGAGTGCCTTGGGGGGCCTCTCGGGTTGTCTTGAGCCTATCTTGGGCGTCCTGGAGCGGTCTTTCGGCGACTTGGGGCCCGCTTGGGCCGTCTTGGGAGCCTCTGGATGCCCTCCTGGACTATTTTGGACCTCCCCGGCCGCCCCGTCCTCCCATGGGGGGTTGGAGGCGGCGGCCTCCGAGGCCCAGGACGCGGAAACCCTGTGAAAACACAGGGAAAATGAGCCCCCGTCCCCCCATGGGGGGTGGGGGCACCTGTCCTGGGGCCCCCGGCCTCGCCCCCAGGGATATATATATATATATATATATATATACACACATATATGTATATGTATATATATACACAAACACATACAAACACACACACACACAAACAAAATCACACATGCAAAACAACCTGTATACGCTATACGACCACCCTTCGGGTGATGAGGAGGTTGGGGGGGCAACAAGAGGCAGCCTCGGACAACTGAGAGGATTGAGGTGGCGACGATGCGAGACGACGATGCAAGACACCGAGGGGACACCACGGCGGGCCACCCCGGGCCACCGCCCGCGGACACCGACGGGACACCACGGCGGGACGCCACGGCGGGACGCCACGGCGGGACACCCCCGGCCACGCCGGGCCCACCAGAGGGGCGGTCGTTTTTGTCGTAACCCGAGCTGGCCGCGGGGTCGCTCCTCTCGCTCGACCACGCAGCCTCGCCTCGCCCGCGCCCGCGACACGAACCCGACACCGAAACCGATTTCCTGGTGGGAGGCTCTCCATCCCATTGCGATCTCACTCCCCGATCTCCGATATATGTGTATCTATACTACCTATACCCTATACGATCACCCTTCGGGTGATAAGGAGGGTGGGGGGGGAAGAACCAACCGAGGACAACCGCGACAATTGTGATGGTGGCGATACTGGTGATGCGCTCACGACTTGGCGAGGATCTTCAAGACGACCATGCTGACGACAATGCCCCCAGGACCGACGGAACATCGACGGGACACCGACAGGACACCGACGGGACACCCACTGGACACCGTCGGGACACCGTCGGGACACCGACGGGACACCGACGGGAAACCGACGGGACACCGACGGGACACCGACGGGACACCGACGGAACACGGACGCAACACCAACCACGGCGGGACACCCCCGGCCACCGCCCGCAGACACCAGGGGACACCGACGGGACACCACGGCGGGACACCCCCGGCCACGCTGAGCCCACCAGAGAGGCGCCCTTTTGTCTTAACCCGCCCTCGCCAAAGCGGAGTCATTCCTCTCGCTCGCCCGCACCCGCGAGACGAACACGACACCGAAACCAATTTTTCGGTGGGGGGCCGTCCCACTGCGATCCCACTCCCCGACCTCCGGTAGATACACAACGGTGAACACGGCCAAGGGGCGACCGCACTGGAGAGTTCTCTACCCCACCTCCCCCAAACGCCCTCGGGTCACGAGCAAAATCCTGACGAACAGATTGTCGGGCGCCCCTTTGGGGCCCGAAAGCGCCCCTTTGGGAGCCCTCGAGTACCTAGCGGGCCCCTGTTCGGCAGCCCTCGCAGCCCCCTCCATTTACTTATCGCCCCCCTCGCGCGCCCCCCAGTTGCGGCCTCCGGGAGCACTCGCCGGGCCCTGGGACTGTCAAGAACGAGTCAGGATGAAACACTGGTCCTGCAGGGGGAAGGGGTGGAGACCCCTGGGGGTCCCAGACCCCCGACGCCGCGATTTTTTCACAACGTCGACCCCCAAAGGTCTGGACCCCTTGCCCGGGACCGGTTTCTCATCATGAGTCGTTTTTGTTGAAGA